CGACACTGCCATCAGAGCCCTTGGTCACGCGCAGCTGGTGAATGGAATATTTGGTCTTGTGCGCGAGTTCCGAATACAACTCGGCCGTAGAGGCATCGGGGCTCAGGACGAGTGATTCTGGCAGGGACTTTATGGGCTTCCCTGTAGGAATGTGAGCACACTGTCAAGGAAGGGGAGATTCTGCCCAGGTCTTGGTTTCGAGCCGGGTTTGCTTACCCCGTGGCCGTATTTGCAGATTGAGGGGTTTCGACGCCATATTGGCCGGCTGAGCTCCAGCGGCTGATGGAACAGGAGACTCTGATGGGAACAAGCGAGTTTCAAGGGGATGAGGCGAGGACTACCGAATCACACTCGTAAGAGGAATGTAGTTGTGGATTGCGGCTGTTAGCGAAAACAAAGCCCGTCGTGCGCAACGAACTAGCGGGTGTTTGGGCTTTTGGAGCTTTCGAGGCACGGCCCAACTATTTATTGGATGGCACCCCCTTTTATGGCCCTGCCTTCCCCTTTTGAGAGACTTGCTGCTGAATTCGGCGCTATGCTTCTTGTGGCGCCATCTTGGACCCTTTAGTCCTCCTCAGCCCTTTCAGCCGTGTAAGGGGCTGGCTGAGAAAGTTAGGGTGAGTACCTTGTAGGAGTGCAGAGTTATAGTTGATCGGAAGTATTATTATTAGGTAGCTCTGTTTCTCTTCCACCTTTGGTTTTCAACCTCCTCTCCTACTGACAAAAGCGGACGAGTCGATTATTGGTGAGCTATTCGTACCAAACCCGTCGTTTCACCTTCGGTTCGCAATTGATATCCCTTTTCCCATTCTTTGCCTCTAGCTGGTTGAACCTTGTCTTTCCGAGCACTCTCCGGAAAGGATCCGAAATGCCGTTGACCTTATCAAGACTGAAGGGTCTGCTATGCATACCCGAAAACCCTGAAGATCACTCAAAGGCTGCAGGATCCAAGTCAGTCAAGGAGTCTCAGCCTAATAAGAAACCCATTATCCAAGAGCGACCCCGTTCGAGCGATTCCAACAGCTCCTCGTCAACTAGTGAAACCAAGAGATCAGACCAGATCTTAGACGTGCTCAAGAATTTCAATTTAAAGAACCTCAGGACCGTCAAAGATGTTGCCTTACAGCAAATTGACGGCGAGCCTATCGACGACAAGACGTATCTTATGGAACGAATCATCCAGCTAGCAGCGAATCTTCCAGTCTCAAGCAGGACTAGTGCTACTCTGACCAATGCCTTTCTGAACCAGTTGTGGACAGACCTGAAACATCCGCCTCAGTCATATCTGGGATCCGATTACATCTACCGCAAGGCAGACGGATGCAACAACAATATTCTCTGGCCGCATCTCGGAGCTGCAAAGCAGCCTTATGCGCGGACAGTGCGCCCCAGGTTGATGCAGCCTGTTGCGCGGCCAGATCCTGGAGTCATCTTCGACAGCCTTCTGGCTCGGAAGAAGTTCAGGCCACACCCCAACAAGATATCGAGCGTGCTCTTCTATGTGGCCTCGATCATCATTCACGACATCTTTCACACTAACCACGAGGACTACAGCATATCTGATACTTCCTCGTATCTAGACTTGGCTCCTCTTTATGGCAGTTCTGTCAAAGAGCAGGAGGCTGTCCGGACCATGTGTGATGGAAAACTGAAACCCGATTGTTTCTCGGATGTGCGGATCCTCGGCTTCCCCCCGGGCGTCGGTGTGCTCCTCATTCTTTTCAACCGCTTCCACAATCATGTAGCAGAGAATCTTGCTCGCATCGATGAGAACGGCCGCTTCTCGAGGATTCTCAATCCACAAGGGAAGCCGAAGCCAGCCAACGCCGAAAAACTCTATGACGAAGCTTTGTTCCAAACAGCAAGGCTGATCACTACTGGACTTTACGTCAATATTATCTTGAAGGACTATGTCAGAACAATTTTGAATCTCAACCGGGTGGACTCGCTATGGAACCTCGACCCGAGGTCTGAAGAGGGCAATGCAATATTTGGCCACAAGATCCCAGAAGCTACTGGGAACTCTGTTTCGGCGGAATTCAACCTTGTCTACCGGTGGCATTCTTGCGTCTCTGAGAGAGACGAACAGTGGACAAAGGATGCTTACACTAAATTATTTGGTCATCAATCCTCGCTGTCCATGGGTCAGTTCCTCAGTGCCCTTACTGAGTGGGCCAAGAAATTAAACCCCGATCCCGTTGAGCGAGAATTTGCTGGTCTTCAGCGTCAGCCTGACAATAAGTATCCCGACCAGGATCTGGCGGCCATCTGGACTGCATCTGTCTCGGATATTGCGGGTAGCTATGGAGCCGCCCACGTGCCTGCAATTCTGAAGAATGTGGAAGTGCTGGGAATCATTCAGAGCCGTTCTTGGAATCTGGCAAGCCTGAATGAGTTCCGAGAATACTTCAAGCTCGAGCCCCACAAGACGTTTGAAGATATCAATCCCGACCCCGTCGTCGTCGACCAGCTACGGCGGCTCTACGGTCATCCAGATAACGTTGAAATATACCCGGGTATTGTGGTCGAAGCAGCCAAGGAGCCTATGCTACCTGGCAGCGGCCTGTGCACGAACTTCACGACCTCACGAGCGATCCTTTCGGATGCAGTCGCGTTGGTTCGCGGCGACCGCTTCTACACCATCGACTACACCCCGAACAATCTAACAAATTGGGGATTTAAGCAGGCAGACTATGACCTGGCCATCAACTACGGCTGCGTCTTCTACAAGTTGGTGCTGACTGCGCTGCCCAACAGCTATCGACAGAACTCTGTGTACGCGCACTACCCATTAGTGATTCCAGAGGAAAACAAGTCCATCCTGACCAAACTGAAGAAAGCTGATCTGTACAACTTTGACAAGCCAACTCACCTTCCCCATACTTTAGCACTGAGCTCTGTTGAAGCCTGTAAAATGGTAATGCGCGGTACGTCCGACTTCCGCTCACCTTGGGATGTGCTGCCCTTCTCCTTGGTTCAGGGGCTCCAGCAAAGTCGGGAGTGGGGATCAATTGTGGCCGATAAGCTGCTCCAAATTGAAGAACTGCAGGCCGCCACAGACGCGTTCTATAAGGACGCCATCTCCGCTTTGCTTCGGAACCGTGCATATCAGCTCGCAGGCAGTCACCAGGTTGACGTCGTTCGAGATGTTTTCAACGTGGCTCATGCGCAGTTTGCTGCCAATCTTTTCTTTCTGCCCTTGGGAGATAAGGGGAGGTCTCACGACAAATACGACGAACAGGATGTCATCGCCCTCCTTTCCGCCATATACAGCTGTGCAAACGTGGAGCAACCTGCGCGGCGGTTTGCCCTCGTTCAGCAGAAACAGAAGGCGGTCCTGCAACTTGCAGGGCGCCTGCAAGACGAAGTGGGCAGTGGAATCAAGGGCAATTTCAGTCTTCACTCGCACTCGCCCGTACAGCTTCGAAGCCTTGCGGCTCAGGCGATTCAAGAAGTATCGAAGAGTGGACTCTCTCCTGCCGAAATCGTGTGGTCTCAATTGCTTCCTTTAGCAGCTTTTGTCTTCGTCAATCAGTCGCGAGTCTTTGCCGAGGTCCTTGACCACGTTCTCGGTGAAGGCGACAAGAAGACGGATGTCGGAGAGCTGAAGCAACTGCTAGATCAAGAAGGCTCATTATCAGGCAAAGCTCAGTCCTACCTTCGCGAGGTGTGCAGAACGCGACCGTCGACGCCGATCTTCAGACAGGCAACATCTTCGCACACGGTTGTCGATGGAGAGGAACAGTTCAAAATTTCTGCAGGGCAACGTATTCTCTGTGACACGGTAAGTTGGGTTTGTTTTCAGCAAGCATGTTTGTGCTAAGAGTAAATGACAGACTGGGGTGAACCGTAACAGTAGCGGATTACCCGATGCTGCGCCAGGCCAGGCCAACGAGGCGCTTGCAGCATTTGGAGGTGAAATATCCCTTGGGGCTCAGCTAAGTCTTGCAAGTTTGGGATCTACCCTTTCGATCCTCTGCGAACTTGAGAAGTTGGACAGAGCAGTTGGGCCAACCGGCCAGCTCAGGCGGCTGAACGAGGGCGCGGTTGTGAATTATTTGAACGTCGAAGAGAGCATGGTTCAATCGTATCCAGCGTCGATGATGATTAATTGGGAAGGATGAGAAATCAAGGATATTTAAATCGGTCCCTCGACCCGTTCTTGGAGATCTCGATATGTATCTACAAGTAGGTGCCTCGTACAAATGATATTCCATCGAAATGAAATTAGAGTACATTGATGTTGTAGCCTGGTAGCCTAACTGGGCGCCTACCTGCGCCTATTAGCCTAGGGCTAGGGGGCCCCTCCTCATCCTCCTCACTTCCTCCCTCCCCCCAAGGACACAGGCATTAGCGGGCGCGGCTAGTGGGTGGCTAGTACATGAAGGGAAAGGGCACGTCATTTTCCACTAGTGCCTCTAGAATCTCCAGGCCCCAAGCGCGTCAAAAAGTCAAGTACCTTGTAGTCGCCCAAACCATCTTCACTCGTCCGAAGTGCGGCAGGCAGTGCATCACAGCACAAAAGAATCCACGCCACAAGAGAGACGGTTTCAGTTTCTTCATCTCTACAACAACCGCATTTGAGGCCTGCTTTACAACTTTAGACCTCATTTCTTCGCTTTCACCTGTTCGTCCTCGCTTCCTGTACACTACTTCTGCCTCTTAATTCCGCCCTGATTTCATCCTCAGACCGAGTACGGAGCTGCGTACAGGCACTGGTGATCGCGGCATCGTAATTCGCAACACCTGTCTTCCCAGCAAAACTTCCAGCACTCCTTCGCACCGCAATTCTGCTGTCGATTCGAAACAGTCGTTCCCTTTCCCTCTTCCACTCGGATCCCTCAAGTTCCCCCTTCGTACCTGTATTGCTGCCGGTAAATCGTGCCCGGTCCCCAGTTTGCGAACCTGGTCCCATCATCCGGACGTTGCTCCCGAGAGGCTGAATACAACTTCACGCTTCTAATGCAGCCTCTGCTGCAACTTCACGGGGCTTAGCGAAGATGGGGAAGGTTACGAGGAAGGCGCAGGAGAAGCATAAAGCGTCGTTGGTGAGTCTTGTTCCCGTCGCTTCGTCTCTCGCTTCATCTCTTCGGCGGACAACGCTAACGTGACTGCGACAGTCCCCTGCAGTATCCGATCTGGTCAAGCAAGTTTCCACCGTTCCTTTGGCCGATCTTCCAGATGTCTTCCGCGGATGGTCGCCGAGATGGCCGTATCCCCGCGGTGATCTCAACAACTGGATCGAACCTCTTGATCGTTTCGACAGCATCTTGCAGTCCTTCATCTCAAGATATGGCCTGGACAAAGGTCCCCAGACAATACCGTTCGGCTCGTCAGTGCTACTTGAGGGGAGTCCTGGGATTGATGAGCAGGGATTGAAAGAGCGAGGATTTGGCCCAGACGGTGACAGAGAATTGGTCGAGGCCATCCTGGGCTTTTCAAAGCTTCTGGTGGAAAAATGTGCGAACCGAGCTGTCTACAATAGCACGGACCGCTTGAATGATCTGCTGCATACCACTTCGCTCTCGCTATTGCACAGCACTCTACGAATCACCTTCTTCCTGGCGCAGCGATACGGCGGCATTCGCCCCTCCCCTCACGGACCGAAATTCTATGATTTTGACTATGAGCGTATCCAGAGGCTGACTGCCCCCTTTGGGCCACCGCCAGGGAACGTCAAGCGTGGGCCAGCATCTCCGGTCAAGACTAAGTCCAAAGACAAAGTCCCGCACGCTGGCGGCAGACCGAGGCGTGGCTCAGTTGCATTCAATCCGAACGACTTTCGGACTCTTTGCAAGGACAAGGACGCTCCACCGCATGGTGACCGCGCCAAATCCTCGACAGCTGGACCTGATCGAGACTGGCTCGCATGGGCTCCCCCCATCAGAGTGTGGTGGGAAACCAAGAGTTCCGAACAGGAGGCTGCCTCTGCCGACGCATCGCAATCATCAGAGACTCCGTCCACTCCTACACATATCCGGCGGTCGGCGACAGGACCTGATACGGCGAATACCAATGGCTCCTCTAATGAGATTGGCGGTAGTAGAATTGTCCATACACCAGGTGATACGGACAGAAACTTGAAAGTCCTCGAGTTTGCCTCCTCTGATCTTTCGGTCACCACCATTGAGACGATATTGCGCAACCACCTGACTGATGATATGCCGCCGAAGGTTCGATACGAGCTGCTGCACCAGCTTCGCGTCACCTATGCTTTGATTACATCGCCGAGAACTCGGATGGAGCTTTTATCGGTGCGCCTCTTGGCCGTTGCAAGTTTGGCCAATGTCTTCAGCGAACCGGAACTTACGCAGAAATTGTTCTCAGTGGAGAAGCCTCAGGAATACATTCAACAGGTTGTTGGTCTTCTTCATGAACCAAAGAAAGGCCACACATCTGTCCCCATCTACCTTCAAACTCTGGCCATGGAGACGATGACTTTCCTTGCACATTCCAAATCCTTCGCATCTGAGATTCACGCCGCCTTGGGCGCAGGATCAAGTCAAGGCCTCCTTTCTCAACTGATTCAGAGAGGCTTGAACGACATCGCCAAAGACAACGACAGCAAAGATAACGCGGCGGGCGACGATTGGAGAGATGCTATCTTTTCCATGCCGAGGACTCTCATTGAGGTTACTGGGCATCATGGACGTTCTAGCGAGGCGGTCATAGCGTCGAGCTTTATCACGTCGTACCTCTCCGGTTTCAGTGTCACCACGGCAAAGGCGATGAGGGTGCACCTGCGGATGCTAGACTTTATCAAAACCTTCTTCCATCACTTCAAAGATGGTCTTGCAACGTTACTGAGCAACCATGCTTTCGAGGCGATCTGCAATCTCTTGAGCACTCTTGTGACGGGTGCTTGGGACCTTCTCAATGTTGGCGAAGGTATCCCGGCACAGCACAAGACGCGCGCTACGGACTACGAAATCCCTTACATGCACCAGCAAATCATTCGATCCATCATTGATATGATCAATGACATTAGCGGTCACCAAGGCGCACAGGCCGATCGAGTTCTAAGAAGCTTGGTCGATTCTCAAGCTTTGCTCCGCGCATTCCGACTTATTGTCGATCACCTGACCGCGTTCGGCGCGCATACGTGGAGTGAAGTCATCAAAGCAATCTGTGGATTCCTTCACAACGAGCCAACAAGCTACACAGTGATATTCGAGGCAGGTATCATCCAGAGCATACTGAATACAGTAAATCCGTCACCAAACCCCCCTGAAGACTCGGCGAACCAGAAACGATCGAAGACCATATCGTCAGTACCTGAAAATCAACCTCAAGGCATTCCACCTGTCGTCGATGCCATTGTCAATGTGTCCCAAGCATTTGGCGCCATTTGCCTGACGAGTGCTGGTTTCGACTTGTTCAAATCTTCGGGTGCATTGGAGAAGTTCTTTGAGATCTTCGAGTCACCTGCGCATGTCAAGGTGCTCAACGATGCAAACATCCTGGCCTTGCTTGGTTCAACGTTCGATGAACTCGTCAGACATCACCCAAACTTGCGCACTTCCGTCTTGAGCACGGTGATGATCATGCTTGGTCGGGTGCGGCATATTTGCAGATCGCTGTCCGTCAGTTTCGGTGCAGGAGCGAAGCTGTGGCTCGGTTCGGAGGACGAGCTCGTTCCGTGTGGCGGATATGAGGCTCTGTCGTTGGAGATTTTGCCGCCCATTGCAACCAATGTTGACGAGCCCACCCCCATCAGAAAGATCGAATTGCCGAATGGAGACAAATTGGTGCTTGAGGATGAGATACTTCCGCCAAGCAACGTTTCAACTACACCAAGCGACCAAGACGGCCATGGTCTTAAAGCCAGTGATTACGTAAGACCTGCCGTTGCGTTCTTGATGACTTTCTTTGAACACCAGGCTCATTGCGCGAGCTTCCTGGAGCAGGGTGGATGCGACCTTGTTTTGGACTTGATCACATTGCCCAGCCTGCCGGTTGCTACTCAACCTTTTGACAGGCACGGAGGCATGTTTCAAGAACTGGCCGCGGCTGTCCACATGATGGCGGAGACCAAACCTCACGTCGTTATCCCTGCACTTGTCGACCGCGCGCGGTTTGCTTGTTCAGAGTTGAACCACTTCAGCCAGTGTCAGCCCAGAGACTGGTCTTGCTACTTTGAACCTTTGGTTACAGCCGCACCAGGCACCAGTGGTACAGGCAAGGGCCCTGCTCCAGAGCTATCCGAGGTTGAGATAAATGGAACTCGCATAGTCAGAAGTCTGATGGCAGTCTTTTGTCTGGCTCAGGCCTTGAGCGAAATTTTCAACATTCCGATCTACAATCAGAGACATGTACAGAATTTCTTATTCGGCCTGGTGAATCTTGAGGATCTCTTCGCAGACATCGCGGTGATGATGGGAGCCATATCTGCTGCCTGTTGTCGTGAGGATGTCGCTCTTCAACGCTCGATCCCGGAACCATGGATCTCGGCAACACGCCCCGAACACTTCTCAACGGGTGACGATGAGGTGGACAAGCTTCTGAGTGTCCGCGATTTTACGTCTCGCTATACCGGCCAGTCGACACCTGAAAATGGAGAAGGTAGCTCAGTTTCGGTACCAGATCCCTCCAAACTGAACAAGGACAAACAGACGCCATTTTTTAAGAATGTCCAAACTCTACGGTTCCTGTTGATCGAGACTCCTGCTGCCATCACAGAATTTCTGTGCCGTCTCGGGCGCAACATGGCTGCTCGACGACGACTAGATACTTTCACCAAGCAGAAGGCGACATTCGTGGCAAATGCGCTCGCGTCTGCCTATCTAACGCAACTTCGACCATACTTCCTCAACTCCAAGACAACTCAGAGCGCCGACGGCGAGGATACCCAGCCTCGCTTCACTTATCTCGTGATCGCTCTAGACAATGTCCGGCGCAGCTTCTACGATGATAGTAGTTCAACGTCGAGTCCAATCGCAACACATCCAGCACGTCAAGGCTTTGTTGTTGAGGCATTCCGCAAAGCGGGAGGCATCAAGATTCTGACAGAGATCGGCACGGAGTTCTTCGAAAAATTGAAGTCGTGTAAGGTCGAGCATGCCGAACTCTCTGCAAACACAGGGCTCAAGATCTGTCTCGATATCCTGGAGGAATTCACTGATTCAAAGTGCATCATCGAGTCGGCACAGTCGAACAATATGAAAACCCCGGACCCACTGAGGCAATGCCACTTCTTACCCGCTCAAGTGTTGCTCAACCTGCGGATGGAAGCACTTCCGCTAACGCAATTGATCTGGGCGAGCGATTATGCGGATCAAGCATCCAAAGACGTCGTCCAGAAGCTGGTCTCGATCTTGAAGCACGTGTTTACTGGTGACCATGAAATGGAAGCAGTGCAATCCGATAGTGGCCACCCGGCCCTTGTACCGTTTGCGCCGAAAGAACTAGAGTTCGATCCGACAAGGGTCAGCAATCTGAGAGACAAGGGCTACAGCGAAGAACTCGTCCTCGAAGCGTTGTACCGGACGAATTCACAAGCAAATATTCCCACACCAGCAGAAGAATATTGCCGAGCACTTTTAGCCAACCCTCGCCGGAGGCGACTACCACCCCCAAAGAGAGATACTACAACCACTCCGGGCAACATTTCCGGAGTTGCGCCCACAAATTCGCATTCATCTTCTGCCTGGACTTCGCTGGGGGTAGTTCATACTCTGCTTCCCGAAGTGCACCAGGATGCGGGAGATAATGAGATGGAAGACGTCACCAACTCCAACGAAACAACTACAACGTCGAGACCTGCCGACAATATTGCAACAAGTGTTTCTTCTGCAATGGACATCAGCAACCTCCTCAACAATGATAGTGAGCCTGAACAAGAGCCATCTCGGCCTGTCGAGGCAGACTTATCGCCGTCCTACTCCGTTGAATCGATTAATGCACAGAGGGCGCTCATTAGAGAGGACCTGGCTGAGCGTTGCAATAATATTCTGGACAATCATCAGAGTCTTACTTTTGAACTGTCTGACCTAATCATTAGCGCAACAAAGAAGTTGAGCGAAGACCAGGCGAAGGAATTCTGGAGGACGACATTAGATCTTCTCACAAGCTCACTGCTTTCGATGCAAGGCGATGATGATATTACCGAGACCCGCGGAAAGAAGATTGCCGCGGCAGCGCACCTGGTAGCTCTACTTATCCAGGATGGGGAAGTGTTTAAAGAGACGCTCGGAATATTCCAAGACTCCTTTGAAGGAATTCTTTCCTTCTTGAGCCTTCCAGCCGCGGACGGCCGGGCTGATGAGGGATCCTTTCCATGGGTCGCGCCTGTCTTATTGATCATCGAGAAGATGTTGTCAAAGGACTGTGAGCCAGCAGAAGTTAAGTGGGATCCGCCTACAGACATCGATTCTGTCACAAAGGCTGTGCTGACGCCGGTATCCGTGTTTGAAATGGAAGACAAGCTGAAGCTTTTCGAAGCACTTGTGAACCTGTTACCACGTGTCGGAAAATCCAAAGGTATGGCTTTGGCAATTTCCAGAGTCTTGGTTGCTCTTACTCGAACTCGAGAAATTGCTACCAAATTAGCAGAGAAGCGAAACCTTCAGAGACTGTTCCTCATGGTCAAGCAGCTTACCAATGGAGTGGGGCATCGATTGCAAAGATGTTTTATGCTGATCCTGCGACATATTGTTGAAGATGACGAGACTTTGAAACAAATCATGCGCAGTGAGATCAGGCTTTTGTTCAACTCCCGGAACACGGCCAGGCAACCGGACGTCAATAGCTATCTTCGAGAACTTTACCACCTTGTTCTACGGTCCCCATCTGTCTTTGTCGAAACGACAAATGAGATTGTCAAATTGTCTTCATGGCAACCACATGCTGGAAGTAATACCGCCATAATGCTGAAAGAGACCGATGAAGTCAAGACAACCGATGACGGTGAAGAGGGTGTGCAGAATCAATCTCAGGAAGAAAGCAAGGCCGATTCGACCAAGCCAACAGCCAGCGTCGAAGCCCCTCAGAAGTCGATCGAAGACACAAGCAAAGGTAAGGCACCCGAATTGAAGCCTCCAGTTGTCGGGCACCCTGATGGAGTCATCCATTTCATCCTATCGGAGCTGTTGAATTACAAGGATGTTGAGGACAAGGAGACCTCAGCTGAAGCGTCCGCGACCTTGACTATCAACGGAGCACCAAATCCGAGTCATCAGACCGCTATAACAGAATCACCCGAGGGACGTGTCATCGATGGTGCGCAGTCGAGGTCAGAGAAAGCCAAGTTCAAACCTGAGGAGCACCCAATCTTCTCTTACCGATGCTTTCTAATGTACAATCTGACGGAGCTTCTCCATTCTTATAATCGCACGAAAATTGAGTTCATCAATTTCTCTCGCAAGGCCGATCCAATGGTAGTTACGCCATCAAAGCCTCGTTCTGGCATCCTCAATTACTTCCTCACTGGACTGATTCCATCTTGTTATGTTGACAAGGAAGATTCTCTACAGTTCAAGAAGAAATTGCTCACAAGTGACTGGGCTATACGCGTCATTGTCGCCTTGTGTTCCAAGACGGGGGAATCCGGCATGACGGTTTCTGCCGAGAGATACTCGACGCAGCCACAAGTCGATGACGTTGACGATGAACCAGATCTGACATTTGTGCGTCGTTTCGTCCTGGAGCACGCGATCAAAGCATATAAGGACGCAATCTCCTCGAACGAGTCCCTTCAGATGAAGTACAGCCGGTTGTTGTGTCTCTCTGACATGTTTAATCGTCTCTTGACGAAGCCCGCCGTCCCTGAAGGCTCCGCCGGCTCCCAGAATACTTCCTACAAGGTGCTTTCTCGGATGATGTTTGAGAAGAACCTCATCTCGGTCTTGACCAGCTCACTCACAGAGATCGACCTTGCGTATCCTGGCTCCAAGAGAGTGATCAAGTTCATTCTGCGCCCATTACAGGAGCTTACCTCCTTGGCTACCCAAATCAGCATCACGTCCCCCGACCTTCTTAACTCTGTGGCTGGGCACATGTCTGAAGATGTGATTTCGTCTGCCTCCTCCGTTTCTGACGTCGAGGAAGAGCGAGAGGAAACTCCAGACCTTTTCCGAAACTCCGCCCTCGGCATGCTAGATCCTAATCGGGATCTGGTATCTGATTCTGCGACAGATGAGGAAGATGAAGACGAAGAGATGTATGACGAGGCATACGAGGACGAAATGGAATATGACAACGGCATTGTCGCTGGTGGAAACGATGACGAAGCAGTTAGCGATGAAGAGGAAGGCGAAATGGGCCCAGACGGTGAAATCGAGGGTCTTCCAGGTGACGTACCGATGGATATCGAATTCGTCGTTAATGATCCTCACATGGATGTTGACACAGATGAAGACGAGGACGAGGACGACGAGGATGAGTCCGATGAGGACGATGAGGATGAAGACGATGAAGACGAAGATGGTGACGACTTCGAGATCGGTCAAGATGAAGACGCTGGTGAAATCAATGGAGACGACGAAAATAACAGTCTCAATGGAGGGCCAGAGGATGAAGGAGAATGGGAAGATGACGACGACGACGACGACGACGATGGCAATGATGCAGAAAGTGCCGAAGGACGACATCGCACTCCTCGATTCGACGACGCCGAGTTTTCCTTCCCTGGAGACATAATGCCTATTCCTGTTGAACAGGATCGCGACATTGGCATGCCTCCTCCGGCAGGTGTCCTCAGCAACCTTCTCCGTGTTTTGGGTGACCACGACCTCGATGAACCGACACGTGCGATAAGAGGAATTACAGAAAATGCGGTACAAGAACCGGCCCGACGTATTATGGTCGCACGTCGTTCTCTTCCTCAGATAGGTGGAGGTTTAGGATCGCCTCCAGAAATACCTTTTCCGGAGGAGGACGAGGATGAGGACGAAGACGACGAAGAGGAGGATGATGAAGATGGCGACGACATGGATGAAAACGACGGAGTTGAGTATGGTGGCTTTGACCACTTGCTAAGTGGGGGTGCCCGCGAAATCATTGAGCACAGTCATTTGACATGGGACCATCCGCCTCTCATGCGACGCCATCGCCCGCTTGGTGGCTCCGTCTGGAACACCCTAACTAGGCGGATTGAAGGTCGGGACGACCTCCATTCAAGCGGTCGGTCAGGTCGCGTACCGCCGCATGTAAGGTCTGGCGATGATGGCGCAAATCCTCTTTTGCGAAGACCTCAGCCAGAGCCCCGACAGAGATCAGAGCACGTTAGCACGAGCTTTCTGCTCCCCCAAGGGCTTGGCATGCTCCCAGGCATGACTGGCTTTCAGCCTCTCCAAGCCACTATCCACACAGTTGACGGACATGAAATAGGCGCCCATGGAGCTGTGCTTGATGCTATCTTCTCGGCTCTTCAGCGTGGTGAGATGGGTACAGGTTCAATCCGACTTCGCATTCCGGCCCCTCTTACAGACTTTCGCGACCCGTGGCGAACATCAGGTTGGGATCCACATCAGCATCGTCATATATCCCGTGACGACTCCCATCGTGGTAATAATTTTGTGCCCTCACCGACCATGGCGCGTTGGCAAGAAGAGGTACGACTTCTCTATGGCACTACCTATGTGGAGAAGATCCAGCGTGTCCAAATCTGGCTCATGTCCGTTCTAGTTCCATTTGCTCAACAAGAGGAGAAAGAAGCCAGACATAAGCGAGAACAGGAACAGCAGGCAGAACGGGAAGAACTGGAAAGATTGAGAGTGGAAGCAGAGCGTCGCAAGAAGGAGGCCGAGGAGCGAGAAGGTGAGCGTTTGCGAGTTGAATCTGAAGCCGCAACTGCTGCAGCAGCCGAGGCTGGAGCCCCGGAAGAGGACGACGAGCATGATGAAGATGGCGACACGGTTCCCATGGAGGATGTACAAGACACAGATGCAGGGACTGTCCAAGAGACCACCGACAATACAGCTTCGACGTCAGCGGCAACTGAGGCGCAGCCTCGAGTTTTCACTACCATTCGAGGCCGTCAGATCGACATCACCGGATTGGCAATCGATGTCGACTATCTGGAAGCCCTGCCAGAGGAACTCCGCGAAGAGGTGATCATGCAACAGTATGCTACTCGGCGTGAAGAAGCTCGTCAAGAAGAAGCTCGTCAAGAAGGCACTAGTGGGACTGCTAGGACTGATACGTCTGGCATTGATCCGGACTTCCTCGATGCTCTACCAGAAGATATTCGAGAAGAGATACGACAACAAGAGGCACACGCACAACGTCGACGGGAGCGTGAAGAAGCTCGCAGACAAGCTGCGGCCAGGGCAGGACACGCCCAGGCGGAAGAGATGGACAATGATAATTTCTTGGCTACTCTCGACCCTGCGTTCCGTCAGGTCATCCTGTCGGAACAACCACCGGAGATCTTGCGTCAGCTAGATCCCCGCCACGCTGCAGAAGGCCGGGCACATGCGAGACGTCTGTATCAGTATGTAAGAACTGATGCGAACGCTCGTCCAGATCGTCCGGCTGAGGATGCAGCTCAACGAGACGGCAAACGGCAGATTATCCAGATGGTTGACAAGTCCGGGGTCGCCACTTTGTTGCGCCTCATGTTCTTGCCTCAACAGGGCTCGCTTCGAACGAATTTGTGGCACATCCTTCGCAATATCTGTGGAAATCGACAGACTCGGTCTGAAGTTGTCAATCTTCTCCTCGTCATTCTTAAAGAAGGCTCAACGGATGTGACGGCGGTTGAGCGCAGTCTTACCAATTTATCCCTGAGGGCGAAAGCAACGGTTGGACAGAAGACACCTCAGCCACTCAAGCGCACGCTTTCGATGCAGCCTGCTAGTGGTATCAGCGATGAAGTCACTCCTCTTGTGGTTGTACAGCAGTGTCTTTATGCACTGAGGCAATTATGCCAGAGCAACTATCACACCCGAACCATTTTTATCCGCGAGGGCGACGGCATTGTAGCCTCGAAGAAAGGCAAAGGAAAGGCCAAAGAAGTCAAAGCAGTCAGATATCCTATCAACGACCTAATCAGCCTTCTCGACCGAAAATTGATTGTGGAGAGTTCATCGTGTCTTCAGTCACTTGCTGAACTTCTGTCTGCGGTTACTCAGCCTTTGCCAAATTTATTGAAGAAGGACAAGGAGAAAGGTTCCGACGAGGACAAGCCGACGGTTCCTGAAGCTGGAAGTACGGAAGCGGCGACTTCTTCTGGTGAACATACTGACGTTGGCCCATCAGCTCAACAAGACGCAGATGTGGAGATTCAAGATGCTCCTGCGCCCGGCACTGACAATGAAGAGAATGAAGCTTCTACAAGTGCAGCTCTACAGTCTGAGACAACAGAAGCCGGCGCTCGTGACAACGCCGACACTAACAACGAAGACTTAACTGCTGATGGGACCAAGCCTAAGAGGGCTTTTGAACCCCCTGAGATTTCGGAGCACAACTTACAACTCGTTGTGAGCATCTTTGTTGCTCCTGAATGCAATAGCGACACCTTCCACTCCACTTTGGAGACGCTATCGAGCCTGTCATGCATTCCCGGCACCTCTGTTGTGTTCAGCAAGGAGCTGATTCATTACATTAAAGAACTTTCCCAATCTATTTGCAGAGACCTTGAGGAGCTGATTCCGCAGCTGAAGGAAGCGCAGTCGATCACGGATCTCCATGTGCTCTCTTCGACAAAGTTTTCACATGGGGGGTCTGATCAAGTCAAGCTTTTGCGAGTTCTGCAGGCATTGGATTATCTGTCTGCACCCAAAACGGAGAATGAGGAATCTGAGGGAAATGCTATGGCAAAGAGCATCCTTACATCATCGTACGATAGTCTTGCTCTGAGACCGCTGTGGACCAAACTGAGTGAATGCTTGACAACGGCCCGTGAAAAGGATAACATCACCAGCTTTGCCACCATCCTGCTTCCACTCATTGAGTCGTTAATGGTGGTCTGCAAGAACACGTCTCTCAAAGATTCGGTCCTGGCCCGTCAAATCCGAGAACAGGTGCCTGGAAGTCCGGCGCCAGAAGCTATGGATGACCTTCAAGAGCTTTTCTTCAACTTCACCACCGAGCATCGCAAGATTCTCAATGACATTATCCGTCAGTCCCCCAAGTTGATGCAAGGAAATGGAAGTTTCAGCTTGCTGGTAAAGAACCCGAAAGTCCTCGACTTCGACAATAAACGAGCCTACTTCACCAAGCAGATTCACTCTAGACTGCATCAGCAACGACAAATTCAGCCGCCTCTGCAGCTCAATGTCCGCCGGAGCCAAGTTTTCCTAGATTCTTATAAAGCCTTGTACTACAAATCCGCTGATGAAATGAAATATGGCAAGCTCAACATCCGTTTCAACGGCGAAGAAGGCGTTGATGCCGGAGGTGTCACTCGAGAGTGGTTCCAGGTTCTTGCCCGGGGCATGTTTAACCCAGATTGGGCTTTGTGGCAACCTGTGGCAGCCGATCGCACCACATTCCATCCTAACCCTCTCAGCTGGATCAACGGTGAACACCTCCTCTACTTCAAATTCATCGGTCGTATCATCGGGAAGGCGTTACATGAGGGACGTGTGCTTGATTGCCACTTCAGCCGGGCTGTTTATAAGCGTCTTCTCGGAAAGGAACCCAATCTAAAAGATCTCGAGTCCATGGATCTTGATTACTACAAGAGCTTGGTCTGGATTCTAGAGAATGACATCACCGACGTTATTACGGAAGACTTCTCCGTTGTCGAAGAGCAGTTTGGTGAGGAAAAGGTCGTGGATCTTATTCCGAATGGCCGGAATATCCCCGTGACGGAGGAGAACAAGAGAGAATATGTCAACGCTCAGGTTCGCTATCGCCTCACGACGTCAGTAAAAGAGCAGCTTGAGAATTTTGTCAAAGGTTTCCACGACATCATCCCGGCGGAGCTTATCGCTATCTTTGATGAACAGGAACTCGAGTTGCTCATCTCCGGTCTGCCAGAGATTGATGTGGACGATTGGAGAGCTCATACTGAATATCACAACTACAATGCCAACAGTCCTCAAGTTACTTGGTTTTGGCGCATTGTCCGCGGTATGAGCAATGAAGAGCGCGCGAAATTATTACAGTTCGTCACTGGCACGAGCAAAGTTCCTCTGAATGGCTTTAAGGATCTTGAAGGAATGCAAGGGAATACTCGATTCAGTATTCACAAGTAAGTTTGACATTCATCCTCGCGAGCCTTTTGCGCAGATACTAACGAGTTTGCCATAGGGATCCGAGTCAATCTCGCCTGCCAACGAGCCATACATGCTTCAATCAGCTTGACTTGCCTGCTTATGATGACTACGATACCCTCAAGAACAGCTTGATGACCGCGATTAATCTCGGCGCTGACTATTTCGGTTTCGCATGATGGGTTAAATTACTTGGTGTGATACGGGGAAGGCAAAATGCGCCTGGGACAGGGTGCAATGGTGAACAAGGTCGGGCAGGGATATGCGAGGCATTTCTAGGGTTATTTCCCGTCTCTCATGCTCAGCCACGCTGTCTACAGAGCACCATCACAAGGCATCGTTGGGATCGGGCTGGTGGAATGATGCGCACAAATTGAAAGATTACTATGGCGATCACAAATGATGGGTCAATGGAGAGCTTCCGGCTAGTCGGTGGTGACCTTGACATGGCTGAGATGTGCAGATCTCAGATTCCAGATCAATATCGTCACCGGCCACCATATGCTTAGATAGAACTAGTTTCAGCTTAGTTGATAAAAAAACACCGTGCAATGATTGTCGCGTTCTTAGTCTAAATAGCCTTCTCACGCATGCTTCATGCTCATTTGTCGTTCCCAATGACCCACTCAAGGTTTCCTATTGTTTTTCTTGACAGGAGATATGTATGGAAATACTTCGGCTTGGGTACCTCGGAGTCCCTCATATTCGCAAGGCTGTGCGCCGCGAGGCTGGCCAATCATTTGTGCCAAGCTAGGACACGTCGCCAAGGCTTCACTTTCCCGCTTTTGGACAACCCGCACTTCGAACTTTCCACATTTTTGAATTGCTTGAGACTTTCCGCAACCTGCGTTTCCCTTTCAAACTGCCTTTTCCCTCATCCTTCTTGCAAGCCATATCTCCCTTCCTCAACCAACATAATGGTAAGCTAGGACCATCGTATCTATCCTTCTCCGCCATTCTACGGCCTGCCATTCGAGTTCCGCCTTCGTCGCTCGATGCGCAGAAATATTTTCCGCCAGAATCTGTTAGGGCGCATCGTGAGCGTGTGAAGGAGCCCTATTCCCGACCTCTTTGTTGGGAGCTCAGCCATAGCATTTGCACGCTCGCTTTGTCCCTTTACTCGATTCTTGGTGATGACTCCGGCTGGAGGAGGAGAATCCCAGATGCAGCTAGCCACCGCTCTGGGCGTCCCTTCTCCTTAGAGTTCAAAGAAAGCTTTGCGTCAGTGAGAGGATGTTTACTGACGTTTTCTTTGCTCAATGACAGCCACCAAAGGGGAAGAAACCCGCGCCTGCGCCTTTCCCACAAGGGAAGGCTGGGGCTAGTAAGAAGGCTGCCAAGGTACGTCCCTGTTTTCGGTATTATTCTTAAAATCTCGATTCCCTAAGAGACGGTGTATAAGTGCTGTTGGTAAGGGCGGGTTGAGCTGACTTTTTAATTTGCGGCATCGTAGAATCCTCTCCTCGAGAGGCGTCCTCGAAACTTCGGCATCGGTCAGGATGTCCAGCCCAAGCGCAATCTGTCTCGCATGGTCAAGTACGAACTTCCCACCGATACGTCTACTGTCGCGAAGAGTGACCTGACATTTTGGTAGGTGGCCAGAGTACATCCGTCTGCAGCGCCAGAAGAAGATTTTGAACATGCGCCTCAAAGTCCCGCCCGCGATCGCTCAGTTCCAGAACACGCTCGATAGAAACACGGCAGCGCAGTGCTTCAAGCTGTTGAACAAGTATCGTCCTGAGACCAAAGCGCAGAAGAAAGAGAGATTGCATCAAGAGGCGACCGCTGTGCAAGAGGGGAAGAAGAAGGAGGACGTGAGCAAGGTAGGTATCTCAAATTCCCTGCGAAACTATCTGGGTACTCATATCGCAACAGAAACCCTACACAGTCAAATACGGCCTCAACCATGTCGTCGGCCTCATCGAAGCCAAGAAGGCGTCCCTCGTTCTGATCCCTAACGACGTCGACCCAATCGAACTTGTTGTCTTCCTCCCTGCTCTCTGCCGAAAGATGGGTATCCCGTATGCCATCATCAAGGGCAAAGCCCGTCTGGGGACTGTGGTTCACAAGAAGACTGCTGCTGTATTGGCTCTCACCGAGGTCAAGGGCGAGGACAAATCAGAATTGTCCAAGTTGGTGAACACGATCAACGAGGGTTATACCAGCAAGTACGAAGAGAATAGGAGGCATTGGGGAGGTGGGATTATGGGTGTTAAGGCCGTGGCGAGGATGGAGAAGAAGAGGAAGGCGATTGAGAGTGCCATCAAGATCTAAGTGCCCGGGTCCCCCTCTACTGTTTGTTCAGTACGAAGAGAACGGAGACACAACTTCTGAAGTGATGACCACGACTGCTCAAGTCATGTCATCTGTGCTGAAAGAGAGCGGGCATTCAAGATGACTACATGTTGACGACAGATGATGCCGGAGATGATCAGCAGGGATTATGCAAGCCAGGTTCGCGACTGTCACTGCCGAAATGGTGAGCCGCCACAGTCCAAGATCAGCAGTCGTCGACTCCCCGATGTACGCAAGAAAGCAAGCAAGCAGATTCGACCATCTTTCTATCTAGTCGTGTGCTGACGGGCGCCCTGCTCGGTGATAGTCGTAGTCATGATCACAGTTGCAGATGCAGACGGCGCTTGTCAAGGTTCCGAAATGGAAGAAAACCCAAATCATGTCGGTGAAAGATGAACAACGAGGACCTTCTTCTCTGCCGCCTTCTTTCCTTTGTCCCCTGCGCTCTCCCTCCACTCCAGCTCTCTTCGTCTTGACTTTGCTCGTCGTCGTCGTCGTCGTGGTCCTTCCCTCTCAAGACCTTCCCTTCTCGTTCCATTATCCCCTTCTGCTTCTCTCATATCATTTACTCATCTCCTCCTCTTCATGGCCGTCCAGGCGTGCTCCTCCGTCTTTATTTCGTTACTTGTTCCGTCCTCTGTCCTCTATCCTCTACATTCCGTACCCAACACACCTTCAAGTTACGTATCTACGTACGTATGTATGTAGTTGTGACTGAAGATTACATATAAAGCTCCCGCCTGGGTGCCACCCACTCTGCCCGCGAGGTTCTCAAACCGTGCTTGCTCAATCCCGTGCTGCCCGGGCTATATATTCTTAATCCGTGTTCGCTGTCTTTTACTTTCTCTTCTCCATTTCTACTCTTTCCTTTTCCTTTTCAGTTTGTTGGTTGTTGTTTTCTTGTTCTTCCCTCGCTTCGAGCAGGCGATCGTACTTGGTATTTTCTTTCGTTTCTCAGAAAGCGCGTACCGCACGCATCTATATGGTTATAGAAATCGGAATCGAGACTAGAAACGGAATCAGTGATTGGGTGTTATCTACTTGCTTGGTACATGGCAGTGTTAACGGGGAAGAGTCAAGACAAAGGACCACGAAAAAATAGGGGGGATCCATCCTGTCTCCTTCTCCTTTGGCTATGGTATATTGCCCGTTGTCTATTGCATAGGCTTTCGAAAGAGTATGAGGAATTAAGAAGTAAGCACGTATGCAAGTTAGCGCTATTACGTATTCCACTAGGTAGATAAAAAGAAAGAGAGGGCCGGACCCGGTTGAAATTCATAACGTGCTACGGCTTACACACAGGGTATCAGGGTATCAATTGCTTCTGCTTCTGCTTCTGCTTCTCATTCTCATTCTCATCCAGCTCGAGCTTGATCCTTTCCTGGGAAAGTTTCTACTTTCATTACTTTGTAAGTTTGCCCGTCTCCAAGTCCAACTCCCAGTTGCCAGACTGCCTAGTATAGAAGCCTTGTCAGCAGCGACGACTGAATGAATAAACCCTTCGGTCATTAATCGATTCCAGGGAGGAAACCGCAAAAGAGTAACTATCCGGCCGTCAGAGCAGGGCACTTCGTAATGAGCGCTCTGTACATTAAAGCGAAAGCAGGTCCACGGTTCCAAAGTCCCCGCCGCCATGGTATGCAACGCCCGCCCTCTCCAGAGCAGAACTCCTAATAACCAAACAAAAACCAAACAGGATATTCTCGCTTGCTCCATCGTGGGCACAGTGATCCTAACCAGCTGAGTCGAATTGCTCTCCATTTCCCGTGATGATTCTGTCTCAATGCCGTGATAAGCCTTGTCGAGCCTGAAGAGAGTCCATGTTAGCCACAGTCACAAGAACCCACCAGTGCTGAAGCAAGCCACTTACCTTCATAGCTTCAATCCTCGCTTTCAACTGGCTCGTCACTTCAGCCGCCCGCTTCCAATTCTCCTCCGGTCTGCTCCCTGATTCCCGCGATCCCGCACCTGCCCCTGCGGATAAGCCAGAGTCGCTAGCTTCTCTACTCATCGAATATGCCGGCGTATGCCCAGGACGCTGTGGACTAGTCCTCCCACTGGCCCCATTAGAGAGCATGGGTGGACTCATTTTCCTCCTCGACGCTCCGAGCGAGTCGATCCCCAGACCATTGTTTTCTTTTTCCTCGCTGGGACTGAAGTCGAGGCGATTGCCGTGTGGGGTATATCCACTCTGGGGTCTGGGTTTCGCGGCGCTGGTTTGCGGCTGTGCGCGTCCGCTCTGTGTGCTGGCTGAGCTTCCAGTTCGATGCAGAGCTGTGCTGGTGGGTCGCGATGAATGAATATTGCCGTTTGTTGGGAATCGGTTGTTCAAGGAAGGGTCTTCATATATGCCTCCTGCTCCACTTTCGCTGCCAAAATTGGAGGTTTCGTCCAGACCTCGGCCACGAATCAGATCTTCTCGTTCTCGACCCATACTCTCACGACCGAGTCTGGATACCTCTCGCTTGTAACGCTCGCTTTCTTTCCTAACACTTTCTACCTCTGCCTTCAGAACATCGCATTCCCCTCTCGCCCGGACTAGTTGTGTCTCCTTGGCTTTTATCTGCAGCACATCGCGTGTGTGATCTTCAATCAGCTGCGCATTCTGGTTCTGAAGTTCTGATATCTCCGCGGTGAGTTTGGCATTGCTGCTTCGAAGACTGTCGGTTAAAGCTGTGAGTCTTTCTTTTTCGGCACGCAATTCTTCCAGCTCTGCCCGCTCTACTACTGAAAGAGCGTTTGAGGATGGCGCTGTCGATGGAGGCGACAGTGGGGCGGCAGTCGGTCTGGACAAGGGTCGGCCCGCGAGTCCACCTCGACCCATGCCAAACTTTGAGGGCGATGGTACTGCCGCCGCCGCCGCCGCCGCTGCGGCGTCTTCGTCACCGTCTGTACTCGCTGGTGGTGAGATGACTCTTCGCTGTGGACTTCCGACACCAACTGAGAGGCCAGCTGGTGCAGGTTTTTTAAGTCCGCCGAGTTTCAGCCCAGCGGGCTGTGCTAGTCCCGGTCGAGCCAGTCCGCCTGGTTTGGGGAGAGCTTTCGCCGTAGGTTTGGGTTGAAGAAGTGCGACATCTTCCACCGGTTCAGGCGCGGCGGCTGGCGCTGGCTTTTTCGCGGCAAATGCAGGTTTCTTGGGACCTCCCACAACTTTCTTTCCAACGGCAGAGGTGGCTTTGGCGGGGGCTGGAGCAGGCTTTGGCTTATCTTTCGCTTTGACTTCGGCAGCATCAAAGTACTCCTTAATCTTGGACTTTCGAATGTCGTCCAGTCCATCCAGATAAGGATTCATTGCGCGCTCGCCAATGATTTTCATGAGTGTCCCCAGGATTTCAGCACCGCCGGATCGGATATTTTCTGTCGATTCAGTCAAGAGTTTCGTGGCTGCGTCGGCGATCTTTTTTTGCTCCTCCTTGGAAGGCACCGCTCGCGTAGTCCGCAGGCATCTCACCAAAAATTTGATGGTTTCGGCTTTGACATTGGGGTTCTTGTTGGGTAAGAAGCCCAGAGTGTCCTCAAGGCATTCACTAAGAGATGTGGCAGCAAAGACAGCGTCCAGGGCCGCTCCCAGAGCATCTGCCACGGACTGCTTCTTTTCTTTGAACCTTTCCATCATTGGTGACATGATTGTGGATCGGTATCTCGCAAAGGACTTCCTAAGGCCCTGCGCCAACTTCTCGACGCAATTGGCGGCTACCGTTACCACAGCAATATTGGCGTCCTTCATACACTTTGCGAACACACGGACCATATCATCGAATGGTGCCTCTTTGATTTTTGGAGTGTTCAGGATATTGAAGAGTGCATCAAGCGCATCTTTGCGTTCCTTCCACTTCGTTGAGCCAACCATTTCGTGGAAGTCTGAAGGGATTTTCGAATAGACGTCGACCGGCTCTGCAAAGTCAAAGGCATTCATTTCGGTCTCCTCTTCTCCCTCTTCAGCCACGTCCTCAGCATCATATTCCGCACCGGTAGCTGCCGGAGCTGCTGTTGCCAGAGCGGCTTGCTGTGACCTCGTCAGGCGTTCCTGCTTAGGCGAGGGCTCTTCTTTGACTTTCTCGAATAGCTTCTCCAGGTCTTGTTGCTGTACCGGTTTCAATTCATTCCAGAATATGACCTTGATTGCTTCTTTGAGCCACCGATACAGTTCAACAGTGAGATTCTGCGCTTCGGCCCTGACATTCTTGTCGGCATGACCAAAAACCTTGGGCAAGACCTTTAGGACTGGTTTGGGTTCAACAATCTTCACACCATAATTGTGGAAAATGGAAGTGAGTGCATTGAGAGTTGCGGCGATGATCTTAGGCTGCTTGTGGGAGAGTGCTGGCAATAGTTCTTCGATGACCGGGTCGGACTTGTCAAGCTCAATGTAGAGCAGTATAGCCTCGAGAGCACTAGCTTTGGCTTGAGGTCTCGTTGAAGAGAGTCCCTTCTCGTAGAGGGGCTGCAGAGTGTAGTTCCGTGACTTGACGGCAGCCTGCTGACCACCATATTTCAAAAAAGCGCACAGTGCAGCTAGTCCTTCCTGTTGAGCAGCAACATTGGAATCACTAGCAGCCGACTTCCAGAGACTTGGGTCTTGTAAGAATGGACGAAAGGCGGGGTCCGACTCGTCGGGAGTCAGTTCAAACACTTTGGCGGCGGCCTCATATCCTCCCTTGCGGGCTTTCCAATTCTTGTGCACAAATCTATCGACCAACGGGAGTTGCGAGAAGTCCTCCTCTTGGTCAGCCATGGTTGTGGGGGAGAAGATTCGTATGCGTGAGAAGAAGTTGGCGAGATGTTTCTTTCTCCTAGGACGCGCAAACGGACTGTCGGAGAACATCAGTCAGACAGGTTCACGGAATGATAGCGAGAGTACAATATTCGGGAGCATGGTGCCCTGGTTCGACAGACACTCACCTATCGTTATTGTGATTTTGGCGTCATGCGGTCGGCGGTCCTCTCAATCGACAATGCAGCCGCGACTGCGGTCTAAGGGTTTCTGCAAGTGCCTGTAGGGAGTCTGGAATGTATGCGACGCGTCGACGACTTGTTCTGAGAGGAGTTATGAGAGGCGACTCGGAGGAATGACCTGTGCGTTGAGGGCTGCTGGCGTGGAAAAGTGTCATGTGGGAAACAATTGCGTTTGGTGTTTGGTGTTTGGTGTTGGAGATGGACTGAGTAAGTTTGCACATAAACATTGGCTTGTGCCTATGACAACACAACAGCCACCGCAGGTTGGTCTCCCTTCACTTTTTTTCTTCACTCCTCCTCACTGTGCCTGTGTTGAACGCCCATCCTCTGGCTTCCATTGAGGCATCTTCGCCGTGGGATCATTCACTCCTTTTACGGCGCTGCGAGCTGGCATTACTCTAAAGCTGGTGGCCGGTGACCGGTTTTGGCAACAGGGAGGGCCACCCGTCCAGTCTGGACGAAATCTACGCACAAATTGCTCCAAGGAAGGCGTTGATCTGGCTATCGCATGAGCATCTAGAGCGTTAGAGGTTCATCGACGGGCTCTGCGCCCAACCAGTTCCACAATGAGCCAGCTCCTAACCTCTCGTCAAGCAGAGGAATTGTAGGTCTTGGGCCGATATCCTCCCCCACTTTGAGACTGACGCTACTCTTCCCAGACACAAGTCCATGGTCGCCTACTTGCTCTCGATTGGCATGACCGAAAGTGCAAATACCTTGCGGCGGGAAGCGAATCTAGCCGACACCTTCGACGATGTCACCGCCAAAAAGTATGAGACCCTCCTCGAAAAGAAATGGACTTCGGTGGTTCGCCTACAGAAGAAGATCATGGATCTCGAAGCCAAGAATGTTGCTCTTCAACAAGAGATAGAGACTGCTACACCGCTCTCTTCGAATCGGAAAGTCGACCCCCAGACGTGGTTGCCCAGAGCTCCTGCCCGACACACCTTACAAGGTCACCGGGATCCTGTTACCGCCGTCGCATTCCATCCGATATTCTCCTCGCTCGCTTCCGCTTCAGATGACTCTACAATCAAAATCTGGGACTGGGAACTGGGAGAGCTCGAAAGGACTCTAAAGGGTCACACAAAAGCCGTGCTGGATGTCGACTTTGGTGGTCCAAGAGGAGGCACTCTTCTGGCCAGTTGCAGCAGTGACCTGACCATCCGGCTGTGGGACCCCAGCGACGAGTACAAGAACATCCGGACGCTGCCAGGCCACGACCACTCCATTTCTTCCATCCGATTTATTCCTTCAGGTGCAGCTGGTGCGCCTCTGTCCGGGAACACACTGGTATCTGCATCAAGAGACAAAACACTTCGAATATGGGACGTCACCACCGGATACTGCCTGAAAACATTGAAGGGGCATACAGATTGGGTTAGGGCAGTGGTCCCCTCAATCGATGGTCGATGGCTGCTGAGCGCCGGAAACGATCAAATACCCCGGTTGTGGGATGCCAGCTCGGGCGAAGTCAAAATCACCTTCTTGGGCCATGAGCATGTGGTAGAATGTGTTGCTTTCGCGCCAAGCTCGTCCTACGGCCACCTGTCAAGTATTGCAGGTTACAAGAAGCCGCCTCCGGCGAGCAGTAGTGGGGAATTTCTCGCAACGGGAGGAAGAGACAAAATCATCAAAATCTGGGACAATCGAGGAACATGCCACAAGACATTGGTGGGACATGATAATTGGGTACGGGGGCTGGTCTTCCACCCGGCTGGCCGGTATCTGATTTCAATATCTGACGACAAAACCATTCGATGTTGGGATCTCTCCCAGGAGTGCAAATGTGTCAAGGTGCTGGATGACGCTCATCAGCATTTTATCACCAGCATCCGGTGGGCTCCCGATCTTCCAATCCAACCAAGCATGAATGGAGAGACCAACGGCGTAGCAACTGCAGTCAAGAAGGAGGACAGTGGTGGAGGAGGCAAGATCCGCTGTGTTATTGCCACGGGCTGCGTCGACTGGAATGTCCGCGTCTTTGCTGGATGAACAAGAGATGTGTAGTGGACAGAGGCGGTTTCTATCAGGAATGCATCTCGGGGGGCGCGTTGGATGGTAGAACAAAATTGATGAATAGGATGAGTGTATGAGTACGAGTAACGAAATATATGAAACCAGCCGCTTCACTATCACTTTCACTTTCACTTCACTTCCGGAACTGCACGGAGCTGCCTTTCACCTTGGACCTTGGACAACTCCAGTTCCATCACGTCAAACAAGATTCCTGTCCATGGACACCAACTGCTCTCATTTACGAACATGGCCTTGGGCAATGATCACCAGCGTGAAACTTTCCATGACTTTCCCCGATGAACTCGGCCGCCCGTGCCGTCGGGTTGGCGGCCGGCTGGGGTCGTGGATACAAACAATCTTGACCTCTTCAACCGATCAATTGCGAGTCATGTCTTGACGACTAGATGGCACGTTTATCATTCTCATCATCATCTGCGGAGCCTCGCGCTGTCTCTGGGGCCAGAGACTCAACAAGCATCGCAGTCTCCAAGCTGTCGTCTCAGTCTCGACCCTCAATTTCAGCTGACTGAGATTTTCGCAGTTCGTTGCGGTATCTAGGACACTAACCGTGGGCATTCCAGCCGATTGCGAAACAGACCAAGGGAAAATTTCTCTCGCTCCTCAGACAGCTACAGCACTAGCACCTCAAGCACCCATCAAACATGAGCTGTGCAACAGGCATTTGACCATCCAGCCTCCCAGCGTCCCTAAGAAGCCCGGATGCTCCACCCCGACGACACCAGCAATGAACTCATTCTTTGTCTCCTCTACATTCCACTCCTTATTGTTTCGGGTGCACGGTGATTGGTGCCGCCTTTTCCCGCCCTAGGTCGTCTGGGAACAAAGCAAACCAAGACAACCCATCCTGTCGCCAGCCTTGCAGGTTCGCTCGTCGCTCATCGCCAGGGCTACTGATGATATATTCCGTCAGAGACTCAATACACAGAGACAAAGGATCACGAAAGAAGGTGGCGCGAGGATGGCAGATGCCCTCTTTGATGTTCTACAAAGACCTATGGCTCCCCCCATCTGCCATTCGCCCACCTCCTCCAGGACAAGAATTTTGATGGCCAGAGTACAAAGAATTCCTTTCTTTGCGCTATGACTTCGGCTGCCAGTGACCATCACCTCCCCAACCTTCCAGCATGGTATCGTTTGCTGCCCAAGCCTTCCGCCGGGCATAACCTCGCTCTGCGACGTACTTCATCCCTTGCGCAGCATCATTTATTCCGTGACCGGTCGCCCACCAGCCGTGCTGCTTCCCAGGATGGTGCCCCGGTCCATGTACCCGAGCGTTCAAATCACACTGGTGCCAGTTGTGAAGAGTATATAGAAGGGCCTGAGAAAACCGCCAATGGTGACTCCGGATCCACCTCTCCCTCTCGCCGAGGCCGTTCCTTGGAAATGGCAGAAATCCCGTCCCATTCAGCTGCTGTGAGAAAAAGTTCCCATCCTAGAGAGAATATCTGCTTGTGTCCGGCGAGTCCCAAGATCCCCAGACCGCGAAACTGTGAGAGTGCCTGTCCTGTGTTCATTCTACACCAATGAAAGAAACTGTGCTGACCTGGCGACAGCCTTTATTTTGTTCCGTCAACACCAACAAGCCAGTATCATAGCGCAAAATCCAGGCATTCCGAATCCGGAAGTATCAAAGATCATTGGCGAACAATGGCGTGGTCTGTCCGCTGAGGCCAAAGAGGAATGGAATCTGCTTGCGGAAGTACGTCGACATAAAGACTTCTATCATTAAACAAAAACACAAAGACTTTTGTTTCCCTGACTTTTCGTGTTCTTTAGGAAGAGAAAGCCCGCCATCAACAGCAGTATCCCGGTTATCGTTACCATCCACGTCGCAACGGCCGGGTCAGCAATCAATCCTCTCTATCTGGCCCTTCATCTGCCGAACCGCAAGAGTCTTGCACAAAGTGTGGAGGGAAGCCAATGAACTATTACACCAATCCGACTCCCGCCTATACACCGTCTGCGTCTACTACGCGACAACCAATGGCCGTGACGATCCCTGCAAAGCGCAGCTATGTCGTCAGTGCTGCGCCGCCGGGTTCGAGAATCCATGCACAGCGAGCTCTCTCGCCTGAGCATGTCACTTTCCAGAGAGTCGACCCTCGATTGGTTTATGCGGTCCCGCCTCCCTCTCAAACCCTGCCGACTCCCCCATCGGCAGAATCGCAGGACGCAAAGAGACGCCGATTCAACAGCAACGGGGTCTATTTGCCCGGTCGGGAAGTATACCCTGAAGGGTCATATTCATACGCCCATTCTCCCACTGGCGGTGGTGTATATGCCCGTCACGAGGTTTTGCAGCATCCCCAACAGATCCCCCTCCAACACGTCCAAGTTGCCAAACCACAGATGGTGTCGCCTCCTCGAGCAGCATACCCTCGTCCGCCGCTGCTGCAACCCATTCGACCACCACCTCCCCCCCATCAGAGAAATCGATCGAGTGTAGCTTTACCTCCCATCGAGACGATGGTCACGCAGACTCCAGTCAAGACGTCCTCCACGCAATCTCAGAGCTCGGGAGTCGAGGCCATGATCATGTCCATTCCAGTACTGAACAAGATCAAGGTCCTCTCTCAGATCTCTGGCCCATTGCCGGCGCCAGGTGCCACCTCACCAAGACCAGAGGTTCGAGGTGCCATCATTGCCGTGGAGGGTATGGACGCTGCTAGTGTCTATAGCATGACCAACTCCCTAGCGGAGCAGTTGGAAAAGGAGGGCAAGTTTGCCGTGAGGATCTTC